GAGAGAGAGAGAGAGAGAGACCGATCAGAACTTTTTCTGATCGGCCTGCAATCTGCACCATTGGGCCGTTGGCAAACACAGACAGCAGAGATTCGAGCCGTTCCTTATGACAATTAGCAGTTCCTATAGTTTGTACACCATGTACAACCAAATCTAACGAAATGTGTTTCTGCTTCTAGGATTGGGGAAACAGCAGATACAGATGCGTACGGATGCCTCACCTGTGAAAGCATGGCATTGACGCTCTCAATCAGCACCAATTCGTCTGGAGGAATTGCTGACTTTGAAACAGGCAGAACTGTCCCTGAGTCAAGAGTCATGAGCCCCTCATCTGGTCGAAACGATCTCCAATCCTCAGGACTCATAGACTGCGCGCTCATCACTGGGCTCGCCTCAACAGGAGTGTCTGCAGCCGGAGTCCCTGTGGACGAGCCAACAGTTGAACCTGTGTTTCTTGCACCCACTTCTGATGGAACCTCTGCAGTGAGAATAACAAGCAAATCAAGGCAATGTTGAAGAAATCAAACATCGCCGACAAAATCACACCAACATTGTGCTTTCGGGATGTTATGTCACGTCATAGAGTCCACTTAGTTTTTTAGCACTAGCACAGTCTAGCAGCACATACCTCGCCGAACAATCCACTTTCACTCAACAGTGACCATGCAACCAATACTACCGTCTTTACCCGAATAAAACGCCCGCCGAATACAGCTATAATGACCGGCCGTTCTATTCCGGTGAAGACGGTAGCACCTCGTCCTCTGGCACCAACACAAGCACAACGATCTGCACATATACATAATAGAAACCAGAGTTGAACCACGAGTACATGGGCCCAGGCAACTTGAGAAAACGAGAGAGCTTCTCCAGAAAGTTCGGAGGCCCAGGGCAACTGGATCAAAATGGCTGGTGGCACCAGTCGAATCGAAAACAAAAACACCGCGCTCGTGATTCGGCAAAAAGCTTGGCACGCAGGGGGAAGCCGCAAGCATTGGATGTACAGGTGGTTTAAGCAGCACCGAGAGCCATGGCATAAGAAAAAGTCAGCAAGCCATGACATAAGAAAAAGCCGGCAAGTACTTGTCCACACAGTCTACTCAATTTACTTCCACATGTCCACTAATCACCGAGAACAGACCAAGCAAAACGATGGCAGCTGCATGAAAAATCTTATAACATGAGCTGCAGAGTACGGAATCAGCGAACAACAAAGGACGGAACAACAAGAAAATTGGCTCCACGATGAGAGGAAAATGAAGTACAAACGCAAGAAAATTCTCGATATAGCCTGCCAGGTGCACGTGCCAGATGTACGACCGCATTCCACAGGTCAGAGAGATCTGGCCAGGTCATCCCAATAGGTCCACAAAAAGGGCTGGAACATGTCTGTCGCTGTCAGTGTGCCAACAGCAGATCATTTTCAACTTTCAAGGGCTTTTCCTAACCCTGTCCACTGGACCATCCCAACTGTGAAATGTGACTCCACATCTGACCATGGTACCTAGCCCTCGAGCCGAAATCTAATTGGTACCAGAAAAGTGGGAACAAACTTACTGACTTGACAGGAACTCATTGTAGTTTCGAGAGGTCACCCGCATCATCACCAACTACCGCCACCACCAAAAGAACAACAACAACAACAACAACAACAGCAACTAGAATAAACCAACACCAAACCAAAATCACGGCAATCAGGAAGAGGAAGAAGAGGAGGACAAGGGAGAGGATCACAAACCACGAGCAGGAGGAGGAAAAGGAGCAATAACAGCTGCAGAAACGGTTCTGGCTACTTTGAAGCTCCGTAGACTGCACCAAAGCATCACAAAGTTATACTGAGTAGCACAGATGCATCACAAGCTTACAGAACTATGTTAACGATACTAGTGGCAAGGAATGCAACCATCCTAAAAACAATAGAGCACAACAAGTCCACTCTACCTGAAGGCTGAAACTCGTCATACATACCAAGGTCATCTGTTGATGTCGAAGCATCTGCCGTCTTCCGAACATCCGCAGCCGGTTGTTGTGCAGTCGATTCTACTGCACTTGCAGCAGAGGCTTTCTTGAGCTTAGTCAGAAGAACCTTCTTTTCTGCAGCAAAGAAAGATACACAGCATGGAAACACTTAAGGACCACTTCTCCTACTGCAACACATCATGAGGTCTTCCGAAGACTGTCGTCCACAAAGTCTCCACAATCTGCATTCGATACAGTCTCAGGCGGATGGAACGACTGGTGCCGCAAGATCTGCAATGGTCAGTCCATATAAGAGTGTACTGTGTATCCATCAAAGGATCCATGCTTACAAATTTGACAAACTTCTGCTACGGGGCATGTCACCCCAGCACATCCCTACGTACACCCACGCTTAGTGCCCTTTTTACCGCAGGCAGGCTGCTGACTTAGGTGGCCCAGGTGCCCTTGACCTGCACAGAAACCCCCAGTCTGCAGCGCAGCCAGGGCGAGCTTAGGCAGCTCCCGCACAAGAATGAAAAAAAACTTTTAAAATGTGAATAGGAGTCTAAGAGAGGCAGAAAAGACACGAGCATTAAAATTGGAACAATACAGAGTAGATCAGCAACGCCATCAAAATTGGGAAGATACACATGCAACGAACCTGCACATGCAAGGAAGATGAGCAATAGTGAACTTCAGCAATCAAACAGCATCATACATATGAGTCCAGATAGTCTTGACCTCGAACCAACAGCAGAAT